TCGTTTCCATAGAATAGGACCACCGCATCTGTACCACAATCGGGAAACATATAGAGTGGGATAGAGGGATTTATCTACCAATAAGAAATATAAAATTCGTTCTAATACTTCTGGTATACTAAAAATTGTTGAATGTACCATAAATAATAATGTATGTATTAAAAATGCAAAGAACGATTTAAATTTCAAATCGATGGTCAGTTACCCATATGTAGACATATATGCTCTTTTTCTATGCATGAGAGGAAAAGGCATAATTAATTTCGATTTGAAAAAATATATTTTATAGTGTATATAACCTGAAGAATTGTTCACAACCTACTTGACCTATTATAACATTCAATCATGTCAGCCATTACAACTAAAATCGTAGAAAAATACAATCTCAGCTCCGAGAAGAGTGTGACCGATCTGAGTCGATACACCTCAGAGTTTCTCAAAAATCTTACAGATGATAGAAAAAGAAATCAGGCTCGACGACGTCTTCGGGATGGTTTTAAATTTAGCAGTGAACAGGTAGGTGTATTGATACCTAATCAGAGAGGTGGGAAAAATAAAAACTATAAATTTAGTTGAAGGTAATTGTAGAATAACCATAGCTTCACCCCCAAAAGCTTGGAAGAAGAAATTATCAGAGAGATAGCAAAACGAATCTTGCAAAATAGATATGGGTTTAGCGAGGATCAAGTGGAAGCCTTATTCTCTGCCCAGGAAAATGAAAATAAGACCAAGCAGAACGTGCCCTGTTCTACAGTAAACATTGTTATTTCTAAGAGACAAAGTCTCCTTTCTTCGAAAGATCAGGTCTTACAAGAAACTATTGGAGAGATGGCACATCAGTTTTTATGAGATAAGCTTAGTATTAGGGATATAAGAGCTGAAGCTTATGCCTTAGCCCTATCAGCAAAAAATGCCAATGCTGGTTCATCACGTCTTTCACGACTTAGAAGAGAATTAAAAACCCTTGGTGCATCATTTGATATAATTGAGGCTACGAAATTCCCAGATATTACAGAAGATGCTAACAAAATCCAAATGGACAATCGGAAAAAGGCTAAAACCATTGATTATCCAGATGAATTTACATTAGAATCGATCAAAGAAAGGTTAGATGTGTATGATTTAAAAACCCCACCCAATTATCAGGCTCTTGCTGATGTTATGGTGATGCTTTGTATTTGTCCTGCTGAACTTACAACTTTATGTATTACATATAGATGCCGCCCAAATTAAAAATCATGATTCCCAAATCCCAAATTAATTTGCACATCCCAAATGTACAAATCCCA